TAAGTAAGTAAGTAAGTAAGTTATTATTTATATACCGCCTTTTCACTGCAGATCTGAGTCTCAAAGCGGTTTACAATTGTTAATTTTTGGGCATTTGTCTCTCACTCCACACAGAGATGGGAGCGGGGCCAGTACAGGAGGCACATGCCAGAACTATTGGACATATTTTTAGTGGTAGGGGAAACCGGAGTACCCGGAGGAAACCTACGCAGACACGGGGAGAACATGCAAACTCCACTCAGAAAGGCCCTGGTCCGGCCGGGATTCGAACCCAGGACCTTCTTGCTGAGAGGCGAGAGTGCTATCCACTCAGCCACCGTGCCGCATGTAAGGGCTGGGAGGTGGGATTATATAACTGAAATGATTTTAAAAAACAAACATGAAAAATGCATACATGTCTCAATCAAATGATGAATGTCTGGATATATTATGTTCATGTTATTTTTCCAATTTCATATATTAATTTTAGGATGAATAGTTATAAGTTACATCATAGTCTCGCCTACTGTATATATAGTAAACACATACACATGCATACGTATATACATACATATATTTTCTATTTTTTATTTTTGTTTATTTCAAGCCCACAATGAAAAAGTGTACAACAACAATCATAGAAACACTGTCAGTAGAGCAAAGAATATTTATTGTTACTTAATTTAAAAAGGAGTGGGGTGAAGTTGAACACATAAGCAGGATTTCACAGTTTCAATTTACAAAACTATATATTATTATTATATATTTACAACTTTATTTACAAACCAATTGGAGTGGCTTCACTTAAACCTTTTCTGCAATATTGAATACAAATCAGATATCCGTGTTCTAACTGATGTGATTATTATAAATACTGTTAGTTGCAAATGTATGTCGCTCAACCCATAGTGACAATATTCACCGATTTGCCTTAATCCAAAATGATAATTATACTTTAAAAGACTGCTTTCTACATACTTTCTGTGCCAGATGCCAGCTCCCTTCTTGAACCTTGGGACTGGCATTGTCTCAAAGGCTGCCTCAGTACTGCCCACTCAGCATCAACAGAAAATGAGTCACAGATTATTATTTTAAACGTTCCTGGCTTCATCCCAAAAACTGAAAGTTGAATGATGCTTATCCCATGACCTTGGTCTGTTTTAGTGAAAGTGTACAGTTAATGTGCAATGTGATGCCTGTCCGCTGCGCTACGGAGAACAGAATAGATGGAAAATCCATTAACTACTAAAGTCCTCAAAATCATTTTTCTCTCTGCAGGTAGGCCGCGTGGTATGTCATGAAAGTTCATTTCGATGTATAAGCTCTGCGAACGTGCACCAGTCTATTTTCAGTGAATATGGGCCGCACATTCTCTGGCTTGCGTCTTGGAATAATCAAAATGATCACTTTTGTCCCTGCTGCCGCTGAAACTATTCCAAATTTTTTACCAGCAGCCCAGTAATCAACTCCTAGGTCCGGCCGTATCACTAAACTCGGTTTTAAGTGCATTCCCAAATGCGTTTTGTTGGCCCCTTTACCCCCCATCATCTGCTAAAATATTTGTGCTACAAAACCAATCTAAATGTTAAGCAGGTGTGCCGGCCCTCCCCTGCTCTCCCCCTGCCATGCGTCGTCCTTTTACCTTTCTTTCTGCAAATGTCCCCTTCTTGTCAGCGCCTCCGCCCCCTGTCTTCTGCCCCTCTCTGGCTCCCCTGACACCAGTGGAAACAGGCTGATGGGCTGTAATTTAGTCCTAATCACAACATCGGACTAGCACAGCGATTTACATGCGGCAGGCAGCGAGCCAGTCTCCCAGTCAGGAGGGACATGTTAATATGGGACCACAGGTAATTACTGTCATTACGCCCCACCACAGATCCAGCCGCGTGTGTACGTCCACAAGTGTGCCCAGATGCATTGTGGGTGCAGCGTTTGATTGGTATGATTTCATTTTTGTGTATATAATTAATATTGGTGGTGTCTTTAATGTGTAGTTTGGGCGAGTTAATTTACAACACTGGCTCTTTGGAATGGTGATTTGTATGTGGAAAACAGAAATGAATTCAACAAGGGGTTCGCAAAATGTATTTCATATTGACAAATATAATTACAATTGATGCTTTGACTCAGTTAAGGATTCAGAATTGAATGAGTTGCTTGATCTAATTTCTCATTCTCACAGTACTTCTTGATTGCTTTGTTTGTTCAAATGCAGGCACTGCTTGCAAGAAATCCAATTAAAAGTGGACTTGCTATTTTAATTATTGATTATGTGTCTCTGCCTGGGTTCCGTCACTTTATTCGATGCACATAAAGTATTGCGCATACAAACAAGTGATATGAACACAAACAAATATTAGGTGTCTGTAAAATGGTCGGAATAAAACGTTTACAAGATGAAATATGCTTTTTTGGAGGTTATAAAACAACAGATATTGTTGAACTCCTACTGGGGGAATAATACTCTCTTTTTCACTGTTAGGCATTAAATAGATACACAGACAGACAGAAAAATTAACAACATAGAACCAACTTTATACGTCAAACTGATGATTATATTTTGAATTCAATGTTTAGACCGTTTCATAGTTTGACAGAAATACAAAAGCTGTTCCAAGTTGTTAAAATTGTACCTGTTTTAAACGTATAAAGACCTTGCAACTTTTAAGTATTATCCTTTATAGTTCGCTTTTTTCAGTTACAAACTTTGCTAGAGACGTTTCAGGAAAAGCAATAAGATTTCCCGATAGAGACACGCTTTCCTCATAATGATTCATTTGATTTTGTATGCATGTCCATACCTTCTGTAAACACAACTTGTATCAGGCAGTTTCTTCACATTCAATATAGACATTTTTTCCGATCCTATTTGAATGTACTTTAGCAATGCCGCCTCTCAAAAAGGACTTTTATCACATAACGAAAGAAGGTCAGAGGAGAGTTATGTGTTTGTGTCCATTCATCCATCAATTTGCATGATCTTGATGGCCAGCCTGCTCAGAATGTGCTACAACGGGGGGGAAAAAAAAAGTACAAACCACCAAAAGTACACAACACACTCCTTCATTTTCTCCCAATTTGGAAACCAAAATATGCTATTTTCACATTTCTCTTTGGGATAACCTCCATGAACGAGTATTTAGGCTAGCCACATGAAGTTGGGGAGCTATAAATTTGTCAGTTCGGAAATTATCGCCAAAGTCACACTAGACATTAAATGCGAGAGTGTACAAAGAGGCCATATCTACCCAGTATTTAGCTCCAGATTCATATCAACATGAAATATATTGGCGTTTACAGTAGCATTCAAAGGTCACATGCACATCATTTATCGCACACAGCAGTTGATATTTTTTTTTTCATTCTGGGTTAATCACATGCCATTTTTGGGACACGTCAAATCACACATCACATATTGGAAACTTTTTAAGCGGCTGCTCAAAGCTTTGTGGGGGAGATGGTAAAAGTATATCAAGGTGTTACCATGGCGATAAGAATAATATGTCAGGGTCCTGAGAGTTGAGGCCTGGAAAAGTCCTCGTGATAAGACCCCGAATGTGAAAGTCAGCAGTTTGTCCGGAGCCAGACCCAGATCTCACGTTTCACAACACACACACCTCACTACTCTTCAATCTTCACCTCCGCCTGCCTCCCATAACCAATTTCTCTTCCATTCGCATCTGCTTTTTGGTTTTCTCGAATGCATGCACTAGGTGGCCTTACGAAAAAGCTTGAATTTCACTACAATCTAATTAAATCTGGGACACCTAACTTTTTTATAAATAACATGTGAAAGATTCCTATAACAGTTTGATAAAAATAAAATAATGATTGAACACTGCAATATATTCTCTTCATTGTATTAGAAAAACATGTTATCTTTTGCATAAGAAAGAGCCTGGGGAGTCACTTTTTGACGCTTTGGACTGCTGATCCAAATATCTAGAAGCCAAAAAATACATGTTAGATGGATTGTATTGTATACAGTAGTTCCTTTTCTAATGAATAGATTAGAAACGTGATATATCTAGTCTAGTGTGTGTGGATAGGGAAGTCTGGGCGTCTCTGCTTAGTCTGCAGCTCCCGCGACCTGGCAACGGATGAAGCGGAAGAAGATGGATGGATGGATGAACGTGATATATCAGATACATATATTTTAGACAGTACACAATAGTTTTTATTTTAGTTTGGTATTTAAATGGAACTACAAGGCAATTCTTCATATACAGTAGTCCACAATCATTCTAATACTACTCAAGAAATTTCCTTTTTTCTATGCATGTTGTATCAATATTTGCTTTTAAGTAGTAAGAAGGATACTGTATATATTAGGAGAATATATTTGATGTCGATTGCTGTCCGATGTTTGATACTTTTGACAGTCCTAAAGTGGATTCACACACTTCAAGACTGACAATAGAGAAGTCACTTTGTTGAATTAGTTTGTGAAATGTGAATGGTGGTGGCCCCAGAAAGAGGACGAGGACTACATCAATTATATGTTTTTTGACAATTCACCAGTTAGAAATTACAGCACACATAAATCATAGTGCAGGGCCATGTGGTTCTTTGAAATTTTCGATAATTTAAATTGGTTATCTTCCAATGAGTTACGCATGTTGCATCTGCCCCTGGAAAAGCTAGCACCGGCCCTGTCTCCCTCTCTTCTCCATATACTGTACACCTATTCATCTATTTATACCCTGTCTGCAAAGGCCATCTCCTCTCTCCTGCATTATTCTCAATTTACCTAATTTTGCCCCTATATTATATGCTCTATTTATGACATTCGTTTTCACCCTCACTTTGCTACGTATCGATTTGCGCCGCACTTATTCTGTTTTAACCTTTTTAGCTCGCACATTTATAACCAGCATGGGACAGTGTGTAGGGCGCACTGATACATCCATGTAAAATTAAATCTGTATTCAATAAAAATAGGGTTTGCGCTTGCTTTTAAGTGCAGGGCTTCTATTTGGAAAGACATAATTTTGCATTTTATGTGTTGATGTTGTTTGCAGGTCCAGTCGCTGCAGTGTAAGCTCGACGGTGTAAGGGCCATCAATGAAAACCTGCGCAGAGAGAGTCAGCTGGTGGTGACCAACATGTACCAGTGGATCACGCAACAAAAGTAAGATTATACAATTTATCATGTTTCATTTTACGGTTCATTTAAGATTTGGTAAAGTACACTTGAAGAGGACGTGTGCACGGTATATAATAAAAAGGTTTTGCATGTCGCTTCAAGTTAAATACACCAAACAATGAATGTATTTGTAGGTCATGTAATTGCACTTCAAGGACAAATTAACAAGTACATACCACAATTTGTGTTTAGAATGTTGTATATTTTGCCTCCATTTGCATCCATATGACAATGACAGATAGGTATTAAAGCTGAATAACCTGGTTTGAAGGACTGTTACTGAAAGTGATGTGTTTCCTCTTGTTCTTTCAGAGCGACCAATGAGAGTGTCAGTGCCCAGATGAAAGCCCAGAGCGCAGCTCTTTCTTTGGTCACTGAGGAGAAAGAGTAAGTAGACTCCCTTGAGTCTTTGAGGCACTGTAACTTTTGATCCTAACCAGGATGCTGCACATAAAATAGTTCACATAATTGATAGCAATTTTATACACATAACTTTCCCGACCTTGCATAGTTGTTTTGAAGTTTTATATAAGGTCTGTCTATATTTGAAGAATCCACAGGAGTGCGTTGGTCTCTGTGATAATGATAATGCTTTATCACTCAGATGTCCTCGCCCATATCGAAGTACATCTATCTTTTCTTCCTGTTCTCTGCAGTGACGTGCACCCTTTTGCCTCACTTAGACCAACTAAACACACAAGGATTCTGTTAAGACAGTTTGTCGAGTCAAAGCATCCACTTTTCAGATTGTTCCAAAATGTTACTTTTTTGCAAGTCACTTTTGATGAGAACAGCCGATCTTTGGTTAAGCTAGCTCACGCCTGGAAGCCTCATTCATTTGTTTTCATGTCAAACGACTTATTCAAAGCTTGTGGCAGCTCAAATGAAATATGAAATTAGATTTTAACGTCACATCTGGAGTTAGCATATTTTACCTGCTCTGGCTCTGATTGTTCATTTAAATGGAAAATATTGCTTCTTGAATGACCTGTTCCGTTCAGCAGCACAAATGGCATCTTTTTCAAACACAGTGAAATAAGATCTACTTTTTAGGGCGATTGAATACATCCAGAGCGACTGTTTGAGAAACAGCAGAGGAGATGTTAACCACTTTATTCGTTCAAACAAGGAGGAAAGGAAAAAGGCAGAGGAGTCAAAAAGTGTTTGTGTTAGTAATTCTACTTAAGATAGACAAAAGTTAGTTAGAATAATGTTGCAGGGAGAAATCTTGAGATGACTCCTGGTTCTGTTGGGTGTCATTTCACTTGCATCATGTGTAAAGAAGCGTATTCCTTTTTCCACTTTGTCCGAGTGGTGATGTCAACTGTTCCTGTGCTTTTGTCCATATGTTAGAACTCTGACCACTGAGTCACAACAGAAAATGATCTTCTTTATAGTTGACATCCGGGGGATATAGTCAGAAAGAAGCAAGTTCACTTTTTATAGTTAAGTACATTTTGTGAAAACCTACTTCCTACTTCTAAAACTTAAAACGTGTGAATTTGTGGATTAACAAATTGTACAGCATCAAAACACAAAAAATAATACGTATTGACTGATCATCACAGTTTGTAAACCCTTGCAATGAGACACACACATTTTGTTTCAAGGTTAGAAACACGCATCCTTGAAGGCAAGAATAGATATTTTAGCATTACAATACCTGTGTGGTAAACAAGAAATACATTGCAATTCAAATGTAGTAGACTAATAGTGGCCCTTTATGTGTTTGTTAGCATTGGTATGTATTCAGCTGTAATGCTTGAGACTGTACAGCTCGTTCTTTAGATTCATATTGGAGGACAGGCCTTGTTTATGAAAATGTATTGTGAAATGTGTCTTTTCTTTCATTTTTCATGTGTTTAACCGTGTCCCTATGGAAGACATCTTCAGGCGGCCAACAATGCTCTAAAGGCAGCGTTACAGCGGCTGAAAGAGGAAGCAGATGAGAATGAGAGCTTTAAGGTGCAAGGACCGAGACTTGTGATAGAAATGAAAAACAACTTTATGTTTGATTTCATTTGTAAGAAATGTTGTCTCACATTAAATAATAACTGTAAGAAGTGCATAGAAAAGCACGACGTCTTCATCTGTTTAATCGTTTTATAGTTAGAGGGTAGTGGGAAGAAGTGTAGTAAGTATAGAAGTTGCAATCAATTATAAAACAGTTACTTCCATTAAAATGTTGTTTTTGGTTGTGTGAAGCCATTTATTGTAAAGTGTGTTTTCTCTTTTTCAAAGACAACAGAAACGTGATTAGAAGTTCCCACCCCCCAGTTCTCAATAACAAAACTTAAATATGACTCTTATGATGAGCTTTGAGTCTTTTGTGGCAGTTGTGTGTGGTTCTTTATCCTCTATGACAGTAAAGCTGCTCTTTCTCTTTGGCTAAAATGTCCTTTAGCCTACTTAGATTATGATGTCATATTCAGAAAACACATTTATTTGACAATTCATGGCTTCACGCAACCTCTAAAGATGAGTTAAAAAATAGTTTTGTGTGTTCATAAGAACAATGCATCCTCTGCCAAAGCACAACTGTAAAACCCATTGAATTCAAAGTGTGTGTATTTGTTTCAGGTGCAGTTTGAAGAGTGTTGTTGGTGCAATGGCAGAACGTGAGTGAACTGGTGTGACCCGCACAAGCGCGTACACTTCAGCAGATGAACAGAGTTTAGCATTCAGATCTCAACAAAAGCGTCGGCCACCATGCTTCGCTCTCTCACACGCAATCTCACCCGAACAAAGCTGATGATGATAATAACAGCAGGGAGTGCCAACTTGCGAATGAGACACCCCATGGGCCCGGCCACCTGTGTGCGCCCCCTTCAGTGTGTGTGTGTGTGCGCGTAGTGTTTCCTCGTCAATATGAATATGTGATTCACGCTGGGCCTTTAACAATGATTACACTCCAATCAAGAGCCCATCCTCTCCTCCGTCGCCTCCCCCATGGCTGTCAAATAGCATTCATCAATAGAGGGGAGATATATTTATTATGTTCATTAAGGCAATGAAAATGAATGTGGCGCAGATGGGAATGCGTGAACGTCGGACGCAAGTGAGAAAGCAGAGAATTCGCTGGTGTGATGGGGCACCTGCCTCCAGCGTCACACCCTGCACCCCTCATTTGACCCCCGAGGCCCCCCGCATTAACAACCCCCCATCCTCCCACTTGCCTCGTCACGTTTTACATACACACGCCCGTCCTCGGAACCCTCCCAAACCACCCAGCTCTGTTTCCAAAACGCACCAGATTTGTTTTGACTAGGAAGGGCTTTCAATGCTATTCAAAGCTGTCAGTCATTTTAATGATATCATTAAGGGGCTGCGACAGAAAGATGAATCGCTTTTCTTTGTCTTTCCTTCATAATTGGGAATGAGCGAGAGAGAGGAAGAGAGAGAGTGCGGGACATAGCCAAGAGAGGCAGTTCATATAGATGTATGCATAACAGGGGTTTTGATTGAGAGAATATAATAACACAGAATGAGATAAAAACAGTGAATGAAAGCTACTTCACTCTGCCTCCCCATCTCTTCCATTTCTTTATTACCAGAATCCCTAATTTATTTCATTTCATTATTTCAACCCCTGTGCCCTGCAAACACATCTAACCCAAAATGCCATATGTATGAAAATTATACATCTATATGGCGAAAGATATGTCATAAGATTTCATATACATCGAATGAATAATCTCATTTCTGGTGGCAAAAAGGATATCACCCGTCTTTCCACTGCCACTATCAAGGACAGAAATCAACACAGCACGCAGGTTTATTAAAGAAATATATTATCATTACTTGGCCTATTGTTCTATGGCTGTTGCAGAGTCACGGCTTTACATAATGCGAGTTATTATGCTTCATTGAGGGCAGCGTAAAGGTTAGAAATGAAGAGGAATGGCATTTGTTCTTTTCAAAAGCCTGTGAAAAGTAGCATCAAAGCAACGCGATATTATACAGCGTTAGTTGAATAGAAGAAGCAACGTGGTCATGAGTGATCAAGACTGAAGCATGTTTACGTTTAGCCTCATATTAAAGCAATGTGAGGATTTTGAGATGCTAATTACAGATATACAATCGATCAATCTATAAATCCTTTATTTGTATAGCACAATTCATGTAGAAGGCAATTCAAAGTGCTTCACAAGAACAATTAAAAAAACCCAGATGAAGATGCATAGGAAAAAAAAGTCAATGAAATTTACAATCATTTCAAAACAGAGCAGTATGGGGTTTAAAACTCTTGTTAAATGTGGGTTTAAAAAGGGAGATGAAAGCAATAAATAGTAAAAAATAGAATCAGTTGTATGCACAGCTAAAAAGATGTGTTCAGCCTAGTAATAGCACCCATTCGATGTATAGTTGTGACTGAGTAGCATATAGGGATATTCCATGACTCATTGTGACATTGTTTTTGCCCGTTTTTTTAAATGAACCACATTTTCATTCAATTGGAAATAAATTATTTTTCATTGTTTTTGTTCGTAGACCAGCAACTCTTTCTAACAGCTAATATTGTTTTGATTCTACCTTGTTACTAGTAAAACCCAAGCATATTCTGCAAACTATTAGCGGCTCTCACGCTGCTAAAACGTTTCAAAATCATTTTTTCAAACCTATTGCAGCAGATTTTTCAAAATGCAAAACAACTTTTCACCGCAAGATCCCAATTCTCTTCAGTTATTCCATTAACTCAACTAAATTGTAACCAGCGACGAAAATCAAGGGATCAGTGTGAGCTCTCCCCACCTGAAAACAATACTCATAGCGTCATGATTTTCAAACAAGTGGAGGACGAACGCTTGTTTGGCTGGCGGCACCAAACTGACTGGGTGACTGGCTGACACAAGCCATCTGGGGCTGCTCATTAGGCATTAGGCTTCATCAGTCGCACCGCTAACGACGTGTCTCCAATTAAGAGCAGCCCGTGATCACAGCGGAGGATTTCTACAAACACACACACGCCGATGGAGATAAGAAAGAGCCAGCTGTGTGCGGAGAAGCTCAAGTCTTGCATAAAATTTACAGCAAAACCAAAGCGATAAATAAGAAAGATGAGAGCGAGATCGGAGGGGAAAAGGGGGAAGCAGCATAGTGTAGTAGTTTATTGCCTGGTTTAGAGAGCATGGCATCTCGGCTTTGACGCTAATGACTGTAATTATCCACAGCCTGATTGGGTTAGCTGCTAATTACACACTTCCATGTTCGCGTGTAAACACAGAAACACATGTTTACACAGGCGTCATGCCAAGCTCCCCGCGCCCCGCCGCCTCTGAACTGGAAAGGCATAAATCTCAGTTGTCTTGGTAGCAGTGATGGTTCGTGATGTGCTGAAGACCACATTACCCACCACTAAAGTCGTTAAATCATGTCAGGAATCTTCTTTATGGACTTGAAATTTTTCTGTTTGCTCGCCGTAGGGAGACTCATAAGACTTCTTTGCATTTTTAATTCGTGAGATCAAAGGAAATTTCTGCATTTCTTCATTATTCCAGTGTGAAATTAAAACATGTAGAGGGGTCACTTGCAATTACGCTCAGTTTATGAATGTCATTTTAAGGAAATTAGGTTTCTTTTAAAATCATGTATATTGGCAGAGCTTATATTACTTTCTGGTAAATGCCGCTGGTTAGATGATGTTGTGTCAGCTGCTATGATTGATATTGCACAGATTGGGCTATTTTTCAATCTTGGCACAGGATTCAAACATTTACTTTGCTGCCAGGAATATTCCCTCATATTGGCTGGTCAGGGATACAGCAAAGGATTGTGGAGAATGGAGTTGAGTCTGCTCTTGCTAGTCTACTGTAACTAAACAATGGAAGGACTTGTATTATTTTGATATTGTAATGAGGGCCAAGTTTACTGTGAATATAAATGTGGTCCAGTTTTCAGTGCTGGGCCACCAGACTGGAGCAGCACCACAGAGAGGATGTGTTTGCAGATATTTAGTCACTGTTCAGTCAAATCTGCGTGAAATAGGCTGAGTTGATTGAATTACGTATGGGCAGTTGTTGGATAAACGATATTTAGCAACGGGACAAGTAAATATGTCTTGTTTTTTTTAAAGAGACAAGATAATTTGACCTTGGAATGAGAAATACATTGCTCTTAAAGTAAAACTAAACTGCTTGTCCTATTTGCACGTATTGTTTTAACAGAAAACAAGATCAACAAATATTTTATTTTATTATTTGTCTTGATGTGCTAGTTTTATTTTTGGATAATGCCCAAACACATATTTTCTGGTTTGGACCCCTTTGTTTGCGTTATCCCACCCACACCACACAACAGTTTCAACCATTCAACAAGCATCCCAAAAGCAACTATTTCCCTTGCAATTGTCTTTTTTGCTGCACACCAACGCAATACTTTTATTGTATTAATATTGTCTCAGTGCTGAGGTTTCACAGTTAAAACAGGAGCATCGTGTCTCTAATGAGTCTCATAAAGTTTTCAGACCAAAATGTCAGTTTGCATATTAGCGTCTCCCTCAAGTGTCTGCTCACATCTTAAATGTTTTAAGTTGTGGCTAATAGGGCCAAAAGTCGTTGTATATTCATGCGTTTGACTGTGTGCGTCTTCCCCATGTGCAGGAACAATGATGCCATTTATTAGTGTTTTGATGAGCACTTGCGTCTTCTCAACTCATGCAAAACGAGGGCCGTCTTCCCTTTTGCAGCAGTGATAGAAAATCCCAGCTTGCTCTTTTACATGAAAATTAACATTGGGGAGGTACTGTGGTACTTTAATGGGCTAAGAAGTCTTCAATAAAGTATTTAGAAGGTTTTCCCCTCAATGCTAACTGGACAGGTTCAGTGGGGCATGAAAGAAAGAGCGCAAAGCGGGGGCCGCCAGATCCTCAGCCCGTATAGCGTCATTATCCAGCGTCGTTAATTTAATAGACATTCTTTAGTCAGCCCTGAGTCTGCGGAGAGCGGACCCTAACGTTTGTTTGTCATTTCGCAAAAGCATTTTTAATAAACAGTTAAAATCTAAAATGGCTTCTTGTACTCTTAATGTTCCCTGGCTGTGCTTTGTTATGTTTTTTCAACGCGATACGGCCTTTCATATCTAATTTAATGATTTCAGGAAGACATTTGCTAACCCATCTTTGAGTTCAGTAATAACTTATTATGAAGATGGTTATAATGAAAACACTCGCCGACTTCTTTATATTGTAGGTGTTTTAATGGTGGCAACTCAAATATGCACTTTCATGTTAATATAAGTTGTTTCAGAGAGATTTCTGGTATGTTCTATGCAAAAATACACTCTAAAACACAACCACTAACAATATGTATTTATATTTAAGTTTACATTCATGTTTTATTGTGTTTTTTGAAGATGTCTTGATGTATAGATGTATATGTTTATTCCTATGGCATTGGTTCTACTTAAGCTAAAGATTAGAAGAAGAAGAAGGATTTATCTATATTCTTCTTGTCTTGAGTTCTATTTCTTCCTACTCTGTGTAATGTGAGCTGCAACACTGAATTTCCCCTCACTGCTAAACAAATGAATGTTCTTTTCTTTCATCTTATCAGTCAAAACCCTTTAGCAGAACTATTATATTCAAACTAATCCCCATCTTAAAACACGCACATTGCCATTCTTTCTCATTTCAGAGTCGGACAGGAGACTTGCATCACTTTAAACCTGTGCAAAATCCAGGAGATGCAGACCAGACTGCAAAACAACCTTGAGGCCGTCCAGAAGCTAAATCAACAAGTGAGCACACACACACACACACAGACACACCATAGACCATACACACACACACACACACACACACACACACTCAGGTGTATAGCAGATAGTTAGATAAACAGACGCAGGGTCCTGACAGTCCTTTCTACGCGGCAAACACAAACTCACACCCACGCTCTGGCCCACCTGCTGTCGAGCTCGCACACTAGAGGCCCCTTTCAAGCGTCCAACTTCAAACGCACACACTCTTATACACAGACATCCATTTCCTCTTCCGACGATGAAAGCACAAAAAAGCCGGGTTGGGGCATACTTTGGGGCGCGGGGAGGGGCGCAAAAAATCATATCGGGACAAAGCGGTGACGTTCCTTTCCAGTGGTAAATGATTTCTCTTTCAAGAAAGTAAAAGAGGGATGTATATCAATACCACGAACGCTGATCTCTTTGTGACAGCGCAGGGAAATAGCCCGCTGTGATAAGACAATGCGAGGGGAGGGAAGGAGAAAAAAAAACACAGAGGAATATTCGGAGAGGAAAAAGCTGACATTTTTTTAACTTCACAAGAGTCAACAAATCACCAAAGGAGAGAGGAATCAAAAAAATGCTCGGCAGCCGCCCTCAGTTCTCCAAAACTACAGAGTCAAGGGATCGGCTCGCATGTGAAACGTAGCCCGCTGATTGACGCGCAGCGAGGAAGTACTTGTTGAAGTTTTCATGTGTTCCAGCGAGGGCAGGTTTGAATGAGGAAGATGAGAGATACTCGAGGTGCCGCACAGGTCAGAAGTGAAATGGCATCTCTAATGTTCACAACGCCTCACAAATGCGCAATGCATTGTGTCTCCGGGTACCTGTAGGTCTGTAGTTATAAAAAACGACATATTTGACAAGGTTTCAGCACTTGAATATAAGGCAAGCATTTCTACATTTGACGTATTTGAATGTTTTGGGGTGTTTTTAGTTTATGTTTCCGTCCATGTTGCCTTCAGAGACACATACTAAATGTATTGTCTGCATTCATCTGAGAGAGCGGTGTACGTTATGAATTGCCTCTTGTCAAAGTTCCAGAACAGTCTCATTCAGTCAAAGTCACACATCCTCCAGGTGTTGTGCATTTTCATCCAACCAAATTTATGAACTCCATAAACACATTAACGCTGCACTCTGCAACTATTACTTTTGGAAAGACTGTGTTGCCCTCATCGCCAAAGCCATCAGGGGTAAACAGCTTCCAGCTTGTTGAATAGAAAAAACATGATATAAGAGGAGCTTTTTGGGCCTACATTGAAGAATTTAAGAAGCTCTCAAAAACAAAGGAAGTAGCCATATCGGCATGTGAAAGTCTGTGCCTTCAGACCTCGGTAGCGAAGCAGATGAGGGCCTGGTTAGTACTGTGATGGGAGACCTCTGGGAACACCAGTTAAAGTATAGTAGTATGAGTGTGAAAGATTGGTGGAGGTCAGTGGGGCCAATGGCACAGATTAGTAGCTCTAGGGCAGCTGTGGCTACTATAGTCGTTCACCACCACCAACAAAGTGAATTTTATAATTACTACAGAACGAAATTAAATGTGTTCACAAAGTATTTTTAATCAAAACAACCCAATGTGTAAAAAGCCATCTCTATGAAGATGTTCTCCAGGGGCATCACTTGAGCTTTGTTTTGGTCAAATGTATAAAATATCCCATATTCACTGACCTTTAGGATCTAAACAACTAATGATGATGAATTGAATGAATTAATATACAAATAAGGTTTTTCAAAATAGTCATCAATTACTGTCCGGTCAATGGAGATAAACATATAATGCCAGACAGAAGGCTAAGCTACAGCATCTCTGGAGACAAGTTCGCTGCGTAACGCTTCAGAAAACACCTTTAAAATACAAGGTCTATCATAGATTTGAAGAGGAAAAATCAATAATCAGAACCATAGACGCTGGATGTTGTTGTTTGCTTAACACAGTGGTTGCACTAATACTCTTCATTAAACTTTCCCTGACAGCGTGATGCACCAACTTTGCTCCGAAACTTCAACCCCCCCCCCTCCGTCCTCGCTCGTAATTTGTTAAAATGGAAAACACGTCGTTACAAATTAAAGAAACGGCAACATGCAACATCAAAGCGCCTCCTTTCTGAGCGCGTCTGTCTGTCTTACCCCCCACCCCCCCTTTTCTCCGGTACTCCCTTTTCATCCCGACATATGCACACCACCAGTCCACCACGTGAAAGCTGAGGAGACAAGCTGCGACTTTTAATTTCCCTCCCTTCCCTCTCCTCATTTCTCCTGCTTTTTCGCAATTAATAAACGCGCTCGTCAATCGGACAAGCAGAATTAAACAGGTCTGCGTGGATATACAGTTAATTATAAATGTCGTCCGCACTGTTTTTCATGTGGAAATGTTAATTCTTTTAAGTAAAGCCGGTCGGAGATACCCCCCTAAGCGTCTTAAGATGGTTTTTTGACATGTCGTCGGTGCGTCAGGGTTAAGCTGTGCTATTTTGAGTCATCAGATGCAATACGTTTGGGAAGATTTATTGAGCATGGGGGATATAGCAGCTCCGGAAATACTTTTTTTTTTTCGTTCTCTCTCTCCTCCGCTCTTGTCAAACCCGCACAGACGACCAGACGTGTTCGAAGTGACATCATCTTTTAACCGCAGACAAACAGATGTTGAGGAGCACTGTCATCACACCGCCTTTAATTTCTTATTTTACTTCCACTTACGGCTAAAAATACATCATTACCACCTTTTATCTGCTGCATTACATTTTTTAGACTCGGCACATTTTGCATATAATTACTACCTCACTACAACAAATGCTTTTAGTTGGGTTTTTTTCGCCGGCATTTTTACGCAAATGTCCTTGTCAAAATATAAAACACCCTTAATTTAGTCGCTCTGCAATTGTGTTTTTAGAGGGGCTCCAATCATGTTCTGACAATGGCGAATTTGTTTTGTGTCACGCATGATTTTGTGTCAAATCGACCTCTAATGATAGCCCAAAATTGGTTGTTTTCATGTCGAAATTTACACCATTGCATGACTCCCACTTGTGACCGATTCATACTGTGAGCACAACACTATCCCATGGGGGGGGGAAAAAAGCGTCTTGCAATTTCCTCCCCATTCATATTTGTGTTTCAAGAAGCATGAAAGCAGCTGTGAATGACGAATTAAGCGTTTAATCGAACGCCGGGTTGCTTCATCAACGCGATAGCCGCTTGATATTTATTCATAGCTTCAAATTAAGTTTTGTAATTTGCTTGATTAAACTAAATAAATATGATGTTTGAAACTTTTCTCATTTCTTGATTTTCACTGTCATGCTTCGATGCAACCCCAATTCACACCGGGACACTGTAAATAAAGCGGGACGTACTGATCTGCAAATCTCATAAAGTCATATTTTATACACAATAGAACATAAGCAGCAGAACAGGAACGCAGCTTTTCTGTGATTCTGTGAAAAGTCTGGACTCGTTTTGAATTTTTAACACGTCAAACAAACGTACTGCCAATTATAATCATGAATTCTATTTGTATTATAATTGTCTGTTGGATATAGGACAATGCAGCCGGTTTGCTTTTCTTAAAGCTGCGGCATCTCACTTTCAAACACAAATAATTGAACTGTGTAATACAATTCATAATTCCTCACTCTCCAAACTGTTTTTTTCTCTGGTTCTATTACCTGCATGTGAAAGGCAGAGCCTGTCAGACCTCTGAAGTTAAGCAGGGCAAGGCCTGGTTAGTACAGTGGTGGGAGACCTCTGGGAACTCCAGCTGCCACAGTGGGGCGGCTGCGGCTGTAAAGTGCCAAATTGTTGGTGTGTCCTTATGCAAGGCACTTCAGCCACATTGCCTTGAATGAGTCTGGTGTGTGCGTGACAGATCGGCGGTGGTTAGAGAGGCCGATGGCACATATTGGTTGACACATTTGCCTCATGAAAAAGATCTGGGCGGTGTCTTATGGGAAAGATGTACACAATTACACTACTGATTGAATATGATTTTTGTGAGATATTGAATACAAATTTTCTAGCGTCATAATGTACATTTACTGTATAGTATGGTGTTTTTCCTGTATGGTATAACAATATGTAGCTTTTATTTATCATATTTCAAGAATTGGTAATAGTTCAATTTTAGAGATGTGTTGAAGCCTCGATCTATAAACTTGTATAGTATCCCACTGTGACTTCCAGTTTATTTTATCCTAATGAAACATTCATCACATTTTAGTTGGACCAAATCAAAATAAGTCAATTCAACAAGAGTTACACCCACAGCTATGTCAATCATAGAAAATTTCCATTTCCTATCCAATAATTGTCAATTTTTCCCATGTCATTTTTCATGTTACCTGTTTCTGTTACTATTAGTTCATTCGTTATTCTGTGCTAGTAATGTATTCAGAACTTCCATGTTAATTGTAAATATAGTAACTATGTATTTCAAACGTATGGATACGAATGGATACAAAAAGAAAAATAAAGCTAAATTTGACATTAATGTTACTTGAATGAAATATTATACAGTATCTAACCTCTGCCCTACAGCCATAAATGAAATGTTTTGCTTTTTCTCCCACCTGCAGATAAGTATTCTGAGGCGGGAGAACAGACATTTGCATTGGAAGCTGCAGGATGAGAGGTCCCAGAGAAGACGACGTGTCTCTTCTTCCAACTCCTGCAAGACCCTGTCCGCCCCCCCACCTCCTGTCCCCTCCCCCCCGTCCCGAGAGCGTGTGTCGGACAGGCCCGGGCACGGCGCAGGTTCTGGGTGAAGCGTCTTGGATGGAGCCCATGGAAGGAGAGCGCGGATGTGATCAAATGAACGGCGGCCCCTGAAGAGTCTGACCTCTCGTAACCCCGGTAACCCCTCAGCTCACCAGGGAGACCATGCACGATCAGGTTAATGTCCTCCAGGTCAATGTCACGTCCCACAGTGGCTATAGCCTCAGGGAAGCTTGGAGAGCATGGAGGAATTTTCTTAAATCGTCAAAAAATGGGGGAAAGATTTCTTGTGAAAGTTCCAATATACTGAGCCGTGTAGGCGTTTTTTTTCCTAATACACTTAACCACTTTTACGTGTGGAACAAAAGGCCCACAGTTTTCAGCACTGCGCTAAATTACTATTGCCAATTATAACTGATGACACAAATGAAATAATTGCAGGAAGCGACTACCACTGATGAGTGTCTATACTGTGCAGAGATTAGCTGCAGAGACCCACGTGTTTTAATGAGTCCCTTCAGCTGCTGCGTACACAACACGAGCTGTATGTCTGCATGTGTGGGTGCATTGTGTTGGGGAAGAACTAGATTCATTGTAAATTATACTAAAGACATTATAGTAAAAGCTACTCTAAACATATAATACACAATTCCCCCCATTTCTGGCCCTATCCAATTTTCTCTTTGGAGACTTAATAGCTTAAAGTTTGACTATCTAACTTTGAAACCACAAAAACATGACAATACAATAAAAAAATACATAATAACAAAGAGGTTTTTTCTAAATGTTAAGTGTTGATACATTGTTGATACTGTACATGTATTAAACATGTAAATTGTATTGTTCATTGCTTGTTCTCCTTGAAATCTATTTATTTTTTACTCAGAACACGGTTTTACCTCTGCAGATCTGACCTGTATCTTGGATCCACTAATTGTGTTGCTGTTATTGTTTTCTGGCAATACTGTTTGACTATCAATGCTCACATTTATAGTCGTTAGATTTGAATTTCTCTTGTGAAGAATTCAGAAGGTGAACTGTTTATATAATGTATTCAAATGTATAAAATATCATGTTTTAGTTCTTTTAACACAGGGGTCTCTACCCTTTAGCTCTGGAGCTGTCATGTGGTCAGATGGAGGGACCAAAAAGCAGAAATGCAAAAATAATGATTTAATGAGGATGATAATTAAAAGTCCAAATTCAAAATAAACACAGGAACCAGGAAAACAGGCAAACAAAGACAATGACAACGGACCAGCAACTCATGAGGATGAGCACACGTGGGCCCTGTTTTTTAACGGAGACGCTGCGACAACAAACAGGACTCCGCTTGCATTTTCAGGGGGGGGGGGGTGTGTTTCACAACCATGTGAAGAAAAAGGTGTGAATTCTCTGCTGCTATGACCCCCCGCTTCCCCGCACAAACATTTTGACATGCGCAGTAGCCGAGAACAAACGTAAACAACAATGGTGGCACGTACACAAACTAGCAGAATGATGTTGGTGCATTCTTTCACGTATTTGCGTCGGCAACAAGGATGTTGTTGAGGAAGTAAATTTATCGGTGGGTGGCTGGGGGGTTGCTGGGGGTCGCGTGTGACATGTTGCCCACTACTGGCCGAGCGCTAGAACTACATTGTTTTCAGGCGTTGTCTAAACGCTGTGCAGGAGCCTGGTCGTTTTTGTTAATTGCTTTTCAGCGTCTGCGCAGCATCTCCGTCTAAACTGGGCCATAGATAAAGACACAGGTGAAAAACATTAGGGCTGGGCAGACAAACAGGGGAACAGGACTGCAAGTAAAACTAAAATGAAACCACAGATAGACAACTAAAACTTACAGGTACAGTACCTCCTCAAAGGATTTAGAAATCACAAATACATTTTAAAAAAGATTATTGGAATGTTTCTTAAATTATTTTTGTGACATATTCGAATGAACGTTTACCTGTATGTGTATCATCCATTTCCTCAGCATTGTCCTCTGAAGGTTTGGGATATTGAAAGTGGATCTTGATACGGCTCATTGTGGACTATAGGGTCTCTCTTAGTGCTGGATGAAGAGCACTAGTGCAAAGGCCAGTGAGGATAGTGCGTACTTAAACCTAAAGATCCTTATTCCACTGTGATAATGAGAGCTGCGGTGAAAGCAGGTCTCAGGGCACAATTGGCTTCTTCCTCATCCTCGCTCCACCTGTCCCCCGCACCCCCACCTGTCTTTGAATACAGAACCCTCTTTTTTATCCTCCGCTGCCTCTGTATATATACATAGCAGTTGTATAGCCGGTCACGTACGTTTTAATGATTTTGAGCCCAACTGCATGTCCTTGTTAGCTTAGTTTTCCTCATTTGCCGTGTCAGACAAAAAAAAATACCATTCTTTTTATGTGCAATCCTACTCACAGTCTCACACACACAATTGTACATTTATATTCCTCCACAAATACACACGCGCGCACACAGTCATTAAAAACGAAACCACAGGCTTTTTGAAAACTCCCAGGACTGAGGGAAAAGTCAGCGGCGCGGCGGTGAAAAGAGTCCCCCTGGAAACAATGAGGAGAATGATCATTTGTTGTTCTTGAAAACCCGGTGAGGTTTCACAGAGGTTAAGCTTCCCTTTGATGTGTTTTTAACTCGTTTCAGCTCTTGCGGAGGGATTAGTCAGCCGCGCACAAACACACATAAGCACCTAGCGACTCTTAATTTCCACACCATGCAGCTATTCTCCACACAAAGCTGGAATAAGCAAAGAATACCAGGCGCCTTCCCCATAACCTAATTTCATCAAATGAGCATGTGTGTGGTAGTTTGCCGATGTGTGGTCCTTTGGAAAGATGTGGTAAACCAGAGAAATTTTGCCGCACAGTATTTTCCTTTTTATACCAAATTATAGATAGAGACACACTGTGTTTACAGTCAGGATCTGATCCTGATTTTCACTACAACTAATTGGGTTGCTTGTATTGTTTTCTGGCAATACTCTTGGACTATCAATGCTCACATTTGTAGTCGTTAGATTTAAATTTCTATGTTTTTATTTTTTCACTTGAGAAGAATTCAGAAGGTGAACTGTTGATGTAATGTATTCAAATGTATAATATATGATGTTATCTGACATTTTAGTTGTTTTGTTCTCCCAACACCTCTACCCTTTAGCTCTTCCAAATAGCTCCTCAAAGGATTTAGAAATAAAAAATACACTGACTGAATATTCAAAATGTTAACTATAGTAGGTGTATACTAACTCACTAACCATGTACTAATCCCTAACCATTAGATATCCATAAAACAATGTACGGCTTTGTCACTATCACACAGTACGGACTCAATTACTTTCAACATTTTTAAAGTGGTAGCTCTCCATTGTAAAATATTGGAGATCTGTGTTTAACCAAACCCCTCACTGAATGTATAGAATTAAACCTAATAGTTAATTACAGTAGCCCTTTGTCGTTCAATAGCTTGCTTTTTCACCACACATGTATGTCGTGTGTACGCTGACAGCCTGCACACTGTGTACTACATGCAACAGCTCGAAAGGCTCCTTTGTCACTTTAATGAAAGCTTTACCTTGGTCCGGCCCAGTCCTCTGCTACGTTTCCAATGACTTTTAGTGGCAGAGGCAGATCTGTCAAAGCACGACTGAAACTGACATAGCAGCAGACGCGGGTGTGGAGGAAACAGAAGTGACAGGAGCGCTGGCAGTGTCACCTTTCAAAGTTAGGTCACTGTAAGAAAAGACAGGTTTTCACAATGTTGCCGTTTTTTGAAAGGCATTTTGTTATAGGTTTACTTTTTATAGTGCATAAGGCTACTGCGTAAAAGAGGCTGACATTAAGATTGTGGAGTTGGATTTAAGCTGGAAGATTGATTTTCAGAATAACAAAATGTCACAGCAGGAGCACTCGTTCCCGCACGCAGACTTCTACTATAGAATGATAAAAATAATACTGTGTAATGTAGCTTATATACTAAATGTGCCTTTTTTACATGACTTGAATCAAGCCGTTGTGCTCTCTCTTTGTAATATATAGGATGCTTGCTGCTGCTGCCTGAAATGTTCGGCTAAACAGTTTTTATCATCTGAATAGAAAAGTATAATGACATGGCGTTGTAGTGGTTTTTGTTCACTTCAGTTCAAAAGGAAATGGTTGGTGGTTCAGATCCCTCTTATCTCGGTCTGCATGCACTTCCTTCTAACGTTCAAATGTATGAATAGGTGACTGAATTTTGCCCATAAGAGATCCTTTTTTCGTCCCACAGAGGGGAAATTTCAATGTTGCATCACCTGTTACAGAGCCGTAGGAATAAGTAGCACACAGTACAAGATAGACAAACAATAACTCTATACTAATTCAAATAAAATAAAAATCAGCTGGTTGAAGTTTGGCAATGGCGGCGAATGCGATAGTAAAGTAATCCGTTCTTGTTCGGCTCCAATTATTAGGACATTGAAACCGGAGCAAGAGTAAAGATTAGCAAATTTAATTACTGGCAAAGATGAGCATGTGTCTCCCCACAGCCTTCGTTAGTGGCAAAGTAACCAAGGAGCTAGGCTAAATGCTAAATTCCTCACTCACTCGGGCGCATTACGTCACGGCAAACTCAGCGGGGGCGGGTCCCAGCTCAAAAGTGGCCAAAATGACGTGCGCTGACATGCTTGCAATACCACCCCGGGCCGATGGGGGTGGACCCAGAAGAAGAATTAGCTATAATGTTAGCCAATGCTAACATATAGCGTTGGCAGACCTCTCAAAAACGTCTTTACAGGATGGTCCAAAAGTTGCCTCTTGGCCCAAAGCTCCGTTCCACATGTGTGTCAATGCTGAGGGGGGTGGATTTCTTTGGTCCACTCTAGTTTACTCGCGGTGAATTTTTGAAGTCTCTCGTTCAAATGAATGGAGCTGCGCCGGCTGACGCATGCGCAGATGCGTTTTTTCACAATTTTCTTGTGGGCGGGACCACTTGCGGCCATCTTGGATTGCTCCATGAAAGTACTTTTCATGGCCAACTCCTATGAACAGCGGAGATAGGCGTGACTCTGTCC